TCCAACACCCTAACCACTCGGCCACGCCGCCTCCTGTAGTGTATTGTGAACACAGTAAAAGTACTTGTACTAGTGTTAGTGATATCACTGTAAGATTACTGAGTGATGTGAAAGTACTGTTACAAAGTAAGACTATTCCACCAGCTTATAAGATACTTGATCAACGAATAAAGATAGAATAGTAGTAAGCAATTGAGGAGTGTGTGTCTCCACTAAATGAATACACAACACCTCCGAATAATGAAGTGTGGTTCTGAAGTATAAAAAGAAAATTTTAAACTACAGTTTGTATTTTTCAGAGTATACTACATTGTACTGTATATATCACTCCTGTTAGAGTGATGGGTGAAGAATTCACATTTTGCTGTGTATAGAAACCAAACAAGAAAACATACAAAGAACAAGAATCAACAGTCTTTTCTTCAAGTTTCTTTGTCAAGCCTTTGTTGCCCCAAAGCAAAAAAAATCGAACCCTATATAGCTAATCACTGGAATTAACAAAACGCCAGCGCTACAAAATAGTTTCAACTAAAGGCTTATAACTTCAAAATCTCATCAAATCTTGACTTACCTCATTATTTGTTATTTTTTTTACGCTTTCCAAGTATGAATTTCTGTGTTGGCGATATCAAACACATTAAAACAACCGAAAACAAGCTAAATATCGAGTGCATACTTCGAGCACGATGGCACCATTTTGTGTCTCGTCCCAGTCCCCGCCGTGCAAATTCTCCTTCCGGACTACGATCTGAAAAATAATGTCCACCTTTCACGACAGTTTGTGAGGAAACAAGCACGGTGACACCCGATTTTTTTTCAGGTATTTGCTATGAACAGTCTAATAAAGAACATATTTAAAGAAGAAAAAAAGTTTGATAGTAGAGGATGTTTCTTTTTGGAAAATAGTTCCGTACTCGGTGTATTTTGGCCAAGGCGAGGACTTCAAGCTAACCAAGGAACTGTCCGAAAAAGTGCAAAATCCCCACAACCTAGCAATAAAAAACAGCTAAAATGAAGCAATACTGCTTATTTTGATAAGAGAAGCTTTAATTTCAAAATAAAATTTTGTTTCTTTCAAGTTACCAAGGCTAAATTCTGTATCTGAGGTGATTCGAATTTTTAACGCACAACCAGTAAAAATACCCCATTTTAAGAGCCTGCCGACGCGTAAACAAGCACGGTGACCCCATTCTTTTATTACATTTCTTTAATGTTTATATCATGACTTTTAATTATACTAAGTTTCAAAAAAAGTTTAATAGTAGAACAATTTCAATACGTCTCATCGCTCCATTTTCCGCACTGGCCTTCTTACAAATCATGTCTATATGACTATCCCAACTAAGTTTTTCCTCTATCTGAACTCCCAAGCAATTATGTGTGTCAGTTCGTGATACGGGTATGTTGTTGGAAAAACTTAGTTGGGATAGTCATATCGACATGATTTGTAAGAAGGCCAGTGCGGGTAATGGAGCGATGAGACGTACTAAGTTGTTCGGTATTCTTATTGTTTAAATTATACGAGGAGCCAATAAACATCAATTTAGACTTAGAGGGGATGCATTTGAAGTTTGTTTTCTATATAAGCCAGTTACGTACATGAGCGAGATGAGAATTTAATTTGATGACGTACAAGTTCGTTGGCATCGTTCGGGTTGTATATATAAGTGAAAATTTTGCAATAAAATTTCTTTATATAGATTAAAAATTTTTAGCCAAAAGTTCATTCAGTAATGCAGTAAATGGTTTGAACCCGGGGGTAACATGTGAAGGTGTAGCCTGATCGTCCGGGTGAGTGTAGTCCTGAGAAGGACTGTTGTCGGTGGCAGTGACTGACGTTTCGACAACCTGTGCGGAAGTCATCATCAGAGTCAAGTGAATGATTGTTGTCAGTAGAATGTTCTTATTCCAGTTCGTGTGAAATGATCGGTTGGTTTTGCCGTGATGTTATTGGCTGTAAGACTCAAGTGACGTAAGTCGGTCGTGATTGGTCTGTTTCG